GCCAGGTGAGAGGTCCACTTGACCTGCTAAAAGAACAATGAGAGAATCCAAAGCCTGATGGAGAGAATGTGGTGGCTTATGTGCTGAAAGTGATAGAGAGACAAAAACAAATGAAAATACTGGCACAGCAAAACATGAAAGTGGCTCAAAACAAACAGAAAACCTGGTATGAAAAGAAGGCCAGGGAAAGGACTTTCCAACCAGGACAGCAGGTGTCACTGTTGCTTCCTACAATGGACAGCAAACTACTAGCAGGGGTGGCAAGGACCATACAAATTTAAAAAATGCCTCAGCAATGTCAACTATAGGCTGTACATGCCTTACAGGAGGAAGAAACATCAGGTCTTCCATATTAACCTGTTAAAAGAATTCCAGCAGCAGCAGCTGCCCACCATACAGAAGAAGCACGAGCAGCAGCTGTCAATGCAGCCTACGCAGCAGGTAAAACAACATCTTGTTCAGGTGGTTAAGGAAGAAGAAGAAGAGGGAAAACAATTTTTTCCCACAAGAAAATCGGTGCAGCGTTTAGTGTCACTGACCCATCTCAAGCCTTCCCAACAGGATGATCTAAGGGGTCTTCTGGATCCAAATTTGTTCCAGAAAAACTTGGTTTTACAAAACTGGTACAACACAAATCCAGTTGAGGGACAATGCTCCGCCCTGCAGGAAATTCTACAGAATTCCTGAACGGCTGGTGCCACAGCTGAATAAGGAAATTGACGAGTGAATGGTGTAGCCCAATTGTTCTGGTCCCTAAAAAGGATGGGACACTGAGGTTCTGCATTGACTTGAGATATCTCAACTCTGTCTCAAAGTTTGATCCCTATCTGATGCCTCGTATTGATGAACTTTTGGAAAGGCTGGGGAGAAGTAAGTACATACACCACTCTTGACCTAAGCAAGGGTTACTGGCAGGTGGCCCTAGCTCCAGAGGCAAAGGAACTAACAGCCTTCAAAACCCTGTTTGGGCTGTTTCAGGTGAGGGTGATGCCTGTTGGTCTCCAGGGGGCACCAGCAATGTTTCAGCAGCTGATGGATCAGGTCTTGATGGATGTGTCAGACTTCACTGCAGCATACTTAGATGATGTAATGATATTTAGCCAGACCTGGGAGGAGCATGTGGCTCACCTGCGACACGTTCTGAAGCTGGTCAAATCTGCTGGTTTTACTAT